CTATACCGGGTGTCCCACGTAACATTTTCGTGCGCAATAACTCAGGTATTTTCGAAAGGATTTTTATGAAATTTAAGACAGGTTTAATATAATAGGTAAAAATTAGGCTGATAACAAAAAAACTATTTTATCGTCCAAAAAACGAATTTTAACACAGCTTACTGTTGTTAAAAATTATGCAAAATTACGTTATAACTTTGAGCAACTAAAATAACATCTGTCTGCGAAGAATTAATTAAATCACTGTTTTTGTTTAAAAGTATTGCGTTAATAAAAACGCAAAAATTAATTAATTAATTTTTTTAAATTTAATAGTGCTGTCGGTGCAAAACAATTGCCTGCGTCGCCGAGTTCTGTTTTGCACACCCCTGACATTTTTGTCAAAATCTGACAATTTATTGAAAATGGTACGCTTTTCTTTAAATATTAAAATAGAAATCATTTTAACCTACGGAGAATGCCGTACATACCTAGATGAAACCATCAGGACTCTTATCGAACGGTATCCCGATACAGAATTTACCAAATTCAAATTACAGAGAATAATAAACTTATTTGAAGATACGGGAAGTGTACAAGATCTAAAACGAGTGAAAAAAACAAAGTGTTAAATACACCTGGTAAAATTATTTCCATTCAAGTTAGAATTAATTCCTGAACCTAAAGCAATTTTGCACCTTCGAAAAGGTCGTAGTGGAGAAACCGAAAATTAGTATTGTCTTAAAATTCATAAAATAACGCTTGGCAACCAGGTATCAAATTCCCGCAAGGGTGTCCAAAATGCGAGGATAGCAGTTTTTTGTTTGATAGGTACCTATCCTTTAATACTTTTTGGAATTATTTGCGCAATAATTTATCGTTTTTTGTCTAACCAGACGTATTTCGGAGATGAATTTTTGCATACGGTGTTTATTTTTCATGTTTAATTAAGTGACGCATGGAAAATTTACTTTTTCAAGATATTGATTATTCTCACCGGTTCATATTAATCCTCACCTATCAAAATACCTACATTTCAAATTTCATAATAATCCGTTCAAAAATACCTGAGTTATTGCGCCCGAAAGTGCTACGTGGGATACCTTGTATACAGATAATAGATAACCAAATATTTATCTAGATAATTTATTTAGATATAAATATCTAGATAGTGCTCAACACTGCTGCTGAGGGTACAATTTTTTTACCGTTGGTTAATTATATTATTTGTACTGTCACACCTGTAAATGACAAACAGAATCTGCCATTAGCGAAGATAAAGTGTGTTGCAAGATTTAGAGCCGAAAAGCACTAATTGCAATTATAGGATACATTAACGTGTCAAAATTAATTATTGATATAAAAAAAAAACTTCCTAATGTTACAGTCCGGCCATTTCAATTTAAAATGGTAAAAATTCATTTTTGTATGAATTTTGATTTCAATATTTAGGGTCTATTTATATAGTCGTCGGCATTTCGATTTGACCACTCTCTAGTGTAAGTTTTCAAAATTTTGCTGGTGTAAACGACTATCCGTACCGTTTTAGAGAGAAAATGGCCGACAACTAATGACACTAGTTACTTTTTTTGACATTTGTTTGATGGCCGTCTTATAAGGCGACGGCGCATTAAGGGGCTCTTTTATGTGGCTTAGGGCTTAGGATACGCCTTTTTAGTATACAAGGTGACTGCGAAATACATGCAAAAAAAAATGGGGAACAGCTCACAATATGATTATGTCACTGGGTAAAATTCACGGTCCTAAGTAGTAGCAGTGTCTAGAAAAAATTATTTGAAATTAAATGTAAATTGTTGTACGCGCCGCTGGACTGTTTTGTGACCTACATAATTACTACAATGAATGGAACAGAGCGAGTCGTATTAACAACCAAAAAAGTGACTTTATCAGGCATTTTTTTAATCGCAACGTGAAAAACACGAAAAGGGCCAGTTAGCATCGAGCGGTCGGTGAAATCGGTTTATGGTGGAGTTTTCCTATGCAGATTGTGTCGATATGGTAATTGGTGCATCAGTGGTACAGCATCTCCAAGATCATGGTACCTTCAACCTCAAACTCACGATCGTGGCCGTGATAGGACAGAAAGAAGAAGTTGGATTTTCACAGCTTGTAGTGCATCCTACATTAAAAGAATATGGCCACATCCATACCATGTTGACAAAGTACAGGGTTTGGAACCCGCTGATTGTCCACGTTGTGTAACTCACTTTTTGTCCGATCAAACTCCACATGCTCGTCAACAAGTACGATTGCAAGAGACAGTTTTCGATAAATGTGTATCGGTTGGATGAAACAGTTAGTTTGTGAAAATCAACAGTGTCCAGAAATTATCGAAGAGCTTCAACAACAAGTGAAAGTGGCAACCGCTACTCCGGTCTTTTTTTACTTATCAACAAACATCTTGCGACGCTCTGACGCCTGTATGGCTAGTCAAGGACAACATTTTCAACATTTCTTATAAAAAGGTAGTAACATTTTAAGTTGCTCTTATTTTTGTTCCAATAAACAATGCAAACTCGTTGTGGCAAGGACCAAACATCCGTCAGAATCAAAAGTTGATCATCATGAAGCATTACCAAAAAATTTTCGCACTGACCTTTAACGATGAATGAATAAATGAATGAACGAATGATAAGCAGCAAAAAGTCAGTTTTACTTTTAATTGAAACTGAAAGTGTTTAGGTCGTTTTTATTCGAACGTTTTTCCAACTCTGTTTACAAGGTGGCTCAGTGCCTTCGTATCGAGGGTGGTTCATGGGGGTTTTGCCCCATTCGAGTTTTAATTTGTTTTTTCTATATTTCGACTCTACTAGGGTGGGGGATGCCGTGGTTAAAATATTTGCACTTATTTCGCAGTCACCCTGTATGTATACCGGCATTATTAACTGTGGGATCCAAAGTGCAGTATAAATCTCTTGTCATATTGTGAGCAATTAACAGAGTACCATCTCGTTAACAAGAAGTGCACATTAATAAAATGGGCAAGTACGACTCAAAGGTGCAATGAAAATTGGAAATTTTGTATGTATTTTTATAATAAAATTTAAATAATAAATATCTACTCACGACAAATGTCGGATGAATCTGTCATCATTTTTGCTAAGCAACAAATATAGCTATGTTTTACCATTTTAAATTTATTATAGTAACTTCTATCTTCGTAAAATCAGTAGCGTAGAGGAAATTTTACATAAAATTTCATTGAATTTTATTTCAAAAATTAGAAGATTTTTTTGTGGTAACTGGTCTCTAACTCGTGACCAGTTACCACAAAAATTTTTTCCGTGCATTTGAAAAACACCCTGTATAATGATAATGGATTTTGGATTAGTACCATTGAAAGGCAGCATGCGTACCGCTTACCGAATTTATTTGGCAACAAATCGGTAGTTGTTGCGTACGTCTATCATCTTTTTTAATAGTGAACGTTTGTGTTGAAAATTCGCATTTCAAACTGGTTTTACGAATGTGACATTTGATATTTATTAGTTATTATATAGTGATAACGCTGATGATGATGACGCTATTGCCAGCCTAATATATACGAATGTTGGACTAGTAATATTACTAAAATTATCATGTGTTAAAAAATTTAACTTTAGAGAAGCAGAACAAAAAATTATATATATTGCTCTCCGGCGGCGCCGTCGAGCCGCATTCTCGCTCGTTCTGCTGTCCGGTACTTTCGATTCGGTGAGTCAAATTTTACAGTACGAATGAGATGTTTCAGGACGAGCCGACCGTAGGGAGCCGAGTCTTGAATTTCGAGACGAGTTCTGTGAAGAGAGTTACGGGACGTATTACGTGTGGCGTTTTATTTCATCCTGTGATCAATTCATTGATTTTTTCAAATAATTATTTTGACATTTATCTGACACTTAAAAAAAAACTTAACAAACAATGTTTATTGTTTTACTGTGATGAATTTTTGAAGAAGCGAGTGCGCAGTTGATTCCGAGTGGCGATCGGAAAATAATGCACAAATAATAATCTGGGAGGAAGTTATGTTAGCATACTTCTTAGATTTGGTGATAAATTAAATGTTCACTCAAATGATTATTTCACAAATCAACCCATTTTAAGTCTAAGAAAATGTGTCCATCGTCATTATGGCCAAACTATTCCAACTATCATAAAATCATTAATACTTTCTCAAACAAAATATTCATATCTCCCGCTTCACAAAGTTAGTGGTAGGCGCTTCTTAAGAAACAATCAGTTGATCACCAACCGAAACAAGCAAAGAAGGGAAAACAATTACAAATTTCTGACAGAAGCTCCCACTGATGAATATCTTACACACTGTAAGATTTTTTGTTTAATTATTACAGATGGTAGCCATTATTGTAATAGCCGCGGGAAGATTTGCATAATATCACATTGGACGATAGGTATTTAAGAAACTAAGCCCCAGTTAATAATCACTAATCACTATTCCTCATACAAAGACGAATCAGAAAAGAATTTTTACTATAATAATTAATTTTTAGTATATAATGAATTCATTTAGGTATAAGTCAAAAGTAGGTACTGTTATTTTTAACTTTGTTTTTCAGTAAATAAATGTTTCTTTTTTTTTCCTGATTGCATTGTCATAGAAACACTTTACCGAAGAGAGAGTCCGGGAAATGCCATTTCTTGGACTCGCGTGATTAACGTAAAGCAGTCAAAATTAACACAGCATGAAATAAATAACTATTACCTACAATATCCATACTTGTGGACTGGTTTATACTTTATAGAGGTCACAAAATAAAAATCGCAAAATGAAACTTTATAATTTTTCTAAGAAACGGGATTTATTGGACGAATCATCGAAACCCCGCGATGCCGTTACCAATGGACCCCTCTTATAATTAAATCTGCTACGTAACAACCGGAAAAAAATCCCACCAATTTTAAAAAGAGGGGAATACGACGACCTTGTCTTGGAACTCTAGTGATATTAAACTTAATCCATCACATTCTGAAATGATTTTAGTGCGCCAGTGTTTCCAAGAATGACTGTATACGAACTGAATGAAATCCACAATAAAGAAATCGCTGAACCATGTACAAAGAGTGAAGACGGATTCTGGCATAATGTGAGAAAATATTTAAGAGAATATGCTGAAGTAACAGGAATTCACGGATTCCGGTATGTTGCCGAAAAACGTTCCGCAGCTGAAAAGTGAGTGACTGTTTATGTCAACAACTTTTATGTGAATTATCGTGCATTTAAGGATTATTTGGAGTTTGGCTTTGATATTTTCATTAGGTGGTTGTATATATATGATTTCCAAAATTCTGGATAAGTATGAGAGTAGTCCAGTGGTTCTCAGTTTTGCGGCTGAAAATATACCACTATTTGAAATCCCCTTCCCTGCTGTTACTATTTGTCCAGATATAAAATATAATACACAGGCGTTCAATTACACCGATATCGTTCATCGGTTAAAGCATGACAAATCAGTGGACAAAACAAAGTGAGTAGTTTAAAATTTTCCAGTTAAAAATAATAGATTATAATCGAGGGAAAGGAATGCATGATTTTTCCTGAGGCGCCGTTTGTAGTCAGAGGCCGAAGCCCGAAGGCTATACCAAACGCCGAAGGAAAAATTGCATTTCCCTCCGGAGGCGTATATACAATTATTTGTATTCGCAGAGACTCCTACAGTCTTTCAATTGAGAACAGGGGATATGATTAATAAAATAGTGATCATAATAGCCGTCACGACAACAAAAAAAATTTTAAGCAATAACTGTGATCTTTTTTCGATCAAAATGCAGAGCGAACATCCACAAGAGATGCATGATGCTGCTGAAGCTGCTGTAGTGAATTTGTTGTCTTCTAAATTACATTTTTTATGTATTTCTTTTTCTAGGGAACAAATATTCTATTTCTCTCTCTAAAGAGTCAATGTTCTATTTATTTTACGATTTTGTGGTCATAGAAACCACCTTTTACTACCGCGAGTAAAAAAAGTTCGTTCACAGTTAGTTATGCTTCCTATAAAGTTTAAATTTAATTTGTTGGTTATTAGGAAACATCACTTAGAAAACACTGACAATTAACATACCTAGGATGTAAAGAGTGTCATAACGACCGCAGCCGTCCGTTAACGGCTATAAAAGCTCGTTCACATCCACTTAGCATACGTAACATGACATAAAATACATTAAATACCAAAAGTTGAAAAGCATTGGATCTTGCGTATCCGTTCACATCGAACAAAACCATAGAAGATATAACATGGCCTACAGAAAAGTTGACCGAACTTCAACTTTAGCGTATTCTTATGCCATGTTTCCTATGCACAGCCAATCAGCGTTCGTTCGTCCCCCCTTCGGCTGTACGGTGGTACGCGGCGTATTTCTATTTCTAACCTATATAAGTTCTAAAGTCATTTTAATTCAGAAGAAGCAGAATGAATTACGCAATCACCTATCAACTGTTACAACGCTGTTATAACTTCTAACCTCAAGTTTGACCGCGATTGAGGCGGTTATGGCACCTTTTACATCCGTGGTGTGTTCAAGAGTTTCTACCTATTTTAATCCAATAATCCAAAAATTAATTAAAAATTAAATAAAATTTGTTGATCACGTTTGCATGATATATTTCAGTGTCATAGTTATATTTTGTTGCTTATTATGCAGCCAGTCAAGCATTAAACAGTTTAAATAAAACCGGTAAAGTTACTTACATTATTGCTTATCACATGGACTGCTTTTCAATTCCTTTACATATGTTGACAATTGACATTTCGGTAAGGTAATAAAGGGTGTTTCAAAATGATTTCTATCTAGTTAGCTTTGAAATCGCTGCAACTCCTATCTTTCCCTTGAAGAAAATCTGCAACCATAGGCGACTAGGTGAAAATCATTTTGAAACACGCAGATATTGATAATTGTATTCTCGCACTGTAGTCCCGAAATATCAGAAATGCTTGTCGGAAGTACAAAAAGAAAATTTACGAAAAAGCATATCGAAAATTTTAAGATTATCACCAAAAGAAAAATTTTTAATTTTTCTCCAGGAATATTGTACTTTTTTGGTTTCTTTTCAGCCAGTTTAGAGACATACTGAAAATCAGTGATGCGGGCGGGGTTATTTGTATATAGATATGATGAGATGTATATTAATTATTTTTTCTGCCTTTTGTTATATTTGCTTTAGTGAAAATTCGTGTTTAAATGATTATTTCTTAACATGGCAATATTTATCTTGTTTGTAGTTTAACGATGTTTCACCATCTAAGTGTTGTCTGTGATGACATACATAATACTTCCAAATTTGAAAGTAAAACCTTGGATAACGGATTTTTTGAAACCATACACGAAGTAAGTGCAAAGAATTATAGTTTACTAGATACTAATACTCCAATCATGTATAATTGTATCTAAATTTTTATTAAAAAAACGTATTTTTAATAAAACTGAATGTATGTTCCGAAATTTTGCTAATGTATTAAGATTATCGTCAGGAAGGTAAATCGTTAATCAAAATTTATCTGTTTATCCTCTCCGAAAACCTGATAACGTCATCTATAAGTTTGATGGATAAATATTATCTAAATTTTATGCTAAATAGTTTGACATTACCTACACTTGTAATTTATGAGTGCATTCATATATTTATGAATGGCTTACACAGGGTGACTCAAAAAGATTAATGAATGAAACAATTTACATATATTACTGATTAATGCAAAAAGGACTTACTTCATTTTCTGAAAATTTGAATATGAATGTTGTTACAGTAGTATTACACTACACTCTATCCAAATCGATGCATGGTTAAAAAAAATCTTATCGGCAACCCCTATTCATGAATCCGATGCCAATAAATTGTAGAAATTTCAAATAATTTCTCAACGTATATTCTGGGATACATTTTAAAATTGTCTTTTACAAATTTTACATCTTTTACGAAAATTCGCATACACCACTGCGAAAATGCATATAATATTAAATCACAGGTAAAGTACCATGCTAATCTATAAATTTCAAGCAAGATTGACGTAAATAAGCTTTGGACTCCATCGAATTTACAGCAAAATTTTAAAAAATCTTGTATGACAATTCTGTATTTTTCTGCAGTAGTATTCTTAGTCGGGTTATAGACACATATGATTTCCTATATTTTAAAAAGAGTTAACTTTTTCAAATCATGTTATCAAATTCTTGGAAGAACAATTGAATAAATGAATTCTGATTAGTGATTTACCATGAGCATCATGACCAGAAGCCGTTTGATAAATTTTAGCTCTATCGGTTTTATGGTTTACTGTAAAATGGTGTACATTTTTTAATTTTTTGCTAAAAATTTGCAAATTTACACTTAAAACTAAAGGTGGATAATTAAGTTATGAGTGTATGTGCAGTGTATTTTGCGAATTTTATAGAAGATATTTGCCAAAATTTTTAGACCACGAGAAGTTTTTGTTGGGATGAACAGATAAACTTTGATTAACGATTAATTGTGGTTAAAACGTTTGTAAGATTTTAGAGGTTTCTTAATTAAAACCTAAAACATATTTATTCAGCTTTGATTTTTACTTCCCGAGCGTAAGCGAGCAAACAATTGTAATCGAGGCCATTGGACAAATAGCCACTTTTATGTTTTTTCGATATTAAAAAAAATTAGTCTCCCGTTTCCGTCTGTCTGTCCGTCTGGTGTCTGTATCCATTTTTATTAGTCACGTAGTCTCCGCAACTGCTGGACCGATTGTTGTCAAATTTTGTATGTAATAATAATAATAATATTAATAATACTTTATTACGGGATATACCCAAAAAATTTGGGTAATTGTCCCCATAGCTAAAAGTTAATTAACTTTATAACAATTTAGTTCATTTTAGACCAAAATGAAACTAGCGGATATATTTACATTCTGTATTTATCAGTCAGAAGAAAATTGTGAAGAATTATTTACACCTATTATTACCGATGCGGGATTATGTTATTCGTTTAACATTTTTGGAGGCGAAGATATATCTCACGATCACGTGTAAGTTGAACCTTGCTTAAAAAAGTTTATAAATGATTATTTGTAGATATAACTATGCAAAATATTATAACGTTCCTCATAAAACTGCAAATTATTTTGATTTTGCAACTGGATACGAAGAAAAGCTCGATGTCAATGCGTATCCTAGAAGAGCGTTAATGGCCGGTTTTGAACATGGACTTGTAGTATATTTGAAGTTTGATGAACAAATTAAAAATACTGTATGTACTCATTTTTTGCGAGGATTTCAAGTAAGTATTATACTGTTAAAAGTTGAAGGAATATTAAAAACCAAATTCTCCAGTTCAATGAATTTTATCACATTGTTTTATACAAATAGCACAAAGTTTTATTTTTGCAAGTATACAACGTAATTCGCAGTCATTTAATCTACCACGTATTTTTCCCTAAGATCTTATTACAAAAATATTTTCCCACATAATAAATTTAACCTCCAAAGTAGGTAGGTACGTGCTTGTAGAATACAAAAAAATAAATACTTACATTTGGTAACAATGCAACGAGAAGATGTTAGTTAAAGAAAAACAAACTGTTGTAATTATTTTCAGTTGATTTTAGGAATTGTGTTTCCTGCTTACTGACTCAACCATAAAATCTAGAAAACAAGTTTCTAATTCAAAAATAAAAACTTAGGACCCAGTTTATAGAAAGCGAAATTAAAGTTAATTCGCGATTAACTTTAAATTGAGGTCTGTTGCTAGACAACGTGCATGTCTTAACCAATCACGGGCTCATATTTCACATTTTAATCCTCTGTTAAATTAACCCAAGATTAAAAAAGATCCGGTTTAAATATTTAATTCGCTTTTCTATAAACCGGCCCTTAAAGTTTTGTTTCTCACACATTTATATTCTACTTGTAGGTTGTAATTCATAGCCCTTGGGAAGTACCTCTCCTTCAAAAACATTCCCTTGTTTTGCCTACCAATAAAACTGCAGTAGTTGGTGTTGAAGCTGAACTTGTTCAAACTTCAGAAGATCTCAGAAAATATAAACCAAAAAAAAGAAAATGTTATCTGCATGATGAGCGCTCTCTGAAACATTTTAAAATGTATACTCAGTCTAACTGTTTACTTGAATGTCGAACTGATCATGTCTTGAAACAATGTGGCTGTGTTGAATATTTCATGCCGAGTAAGTATAGTGAATATACATTTACAGATAAGTTTTTGTATAATTTTGAACAACAGGGAATAATACGACTGCGATTTGTGGTAACTCTCTTCTCGATTGTGCAGTAAATGCTGAAAGTGAGATTAAACTCAAAATGTATGTAAATATTTAATAATTGTATTTGTAATTAGATGATTTAATAGAAGTACAAAAGAAATCTAAGATAAAAGGAGATGACTATTGTGACTGTAAACCTGCCTGTTCAAGTTTGAAGTTTAGAGCAGAAATCTCGCAAGCGAATTACGATGAGGGAAAGTTGCTGAACACGCAGGGACTAACGTATGCGGACACAAAAGGGTATTTAAACGGTTTTGACAATTATATGGAAAAACATTTAAATTTTAGTACGGCCTGGACTCTTCTGCATATTTATTTTAAAGAGGAGTACGTTACAACAATGGAAAGAAATGAACTGTATGGTATCTCTGATTTAATATCCAACTTCGGAGGCGTTTTAGGACTATTTACGGGATTTTCATTGCTTTCGTTATTTGAAATCCTATACTTTTGTTCTTTACGTATTTTCTGCAATGAAAGATTATATGGCAGTTGGTCAGGTTCTTAAACTAAAAGACGAAATGACACTCCAAGAAAAGTATGAAGCAACTTTATTACGAAAATTTGACGTAATTTTCTTTCATTTAGAATGATAGTACACTAACCATTTATTTGTTTTATAAGTTTGATGTAAACTACCTAATTAACTAAATTCTTTATTTTTAGTATGTAGGTGTATATAATCATGGACAAAAATATGGACCATTTTAAAATTTTTACACATTTTCCACAAATACTTGCTTGGATTTAAATCTACTTCCAAACCAGAGCCATCGGGAACATGAAAATATTGGTTAAAACATTTAATATTAAATGTAGGTTTTTTTTACTTATAATACAAATTAAATGTGTTTGTTCCTAAACAAATAATAAAAGTTTAACAAAAAATTGTAAATAGCCAAAATTAACTTCAGTGATATTTTTCGCAATAAGGATGACAAATATATCGTCTTTTTCTTTGTATTTCCTTAAGTAACTTGAGTGATAGGTCAATTCAAATTGTACACCAGTTACACCAAAATAAACTCGTTTGAACTGTACCCTGAACACTGTACCGCGAAAAACATTGTCGGTAATCCAAATAAAAATCACACATAAAAACTTTGGAATATTATCACCGGTGGCAGTTTTTCTCCATTTGCGTTTCCATAGTCTGATACTCTCTTTGTGTTATTTTTTTCCTGGACCGGACTTATATACTTTCTCAAAATTCTTTTATTTTTGGTCATCTCTCATAAAATAATACTTATTTGTGTCATAAAGAGCGTAACACTAGTCAATATGGTACCAATAGTGATCTTCTCTCGTTAGTCGAATCCGATAACACAACGTGTACCATAACGACGCGTTAGGAACCAAATCATATATAAATTTTGCCTGCTAGAATGAACTCACTCCCTAAAAGAAGAAAATTAATTTCCGGAATGATTGACCAACTGTTTGTTTGAAAAAAACAATTAATACGGGTAAAACTTTGTCTATGAAACTGCGAAATTAAAAAAATGGTCCTCTAATATCGTATACAATGAGCAATTCCGAAGAAATAGCTGCAAACGTAATTTCATCACTTTTACCAGCAAAATGACAAAAGCTACAAGGAGGCAGCGTTTGCGTACGGAGTACGAAGAATAGTGCAAGAAGATATTTATCAAAATTTTTATCAGATGCAGGAACTGAAAAATGTTTGTTGATAAAGGTAAAAAGGCCCAATTTAATGATTTTTTAAATTCAACAATTTTGGTTTTAGGTAGCGTTAATCATGGGAATAAGTGGAGCATGCAGATGGGAAGAATTAAACAGTTTATTTACAGAAAATATAGCTGACTAAGGCCAAGATTTTCGAGTGCTGTTACCGAACAAAAATGAAAATTGCACGAGAATTTTGCATAAAAAAATGCAACAATTCGTAGTAACTTTGTTATAAATATTCATAAATAACATTTGTAGAGTATTAATAAAAACTGAAATTTGGATTGACTCTTTTCGCAACTACAAATCTGAATGAGGATTTGCATTATAGTCCTAGGAATATAATGTAGGTGGAAAAAAACACGTTGTTATGGAAATATGTCGAAGACGTTGTCGGTGATTTTTGAAGTTCAAAACCCTCGGTGCCAACAACGTACTAACAGATTTTAAGCCCCAAATGAAAAAGAAGGGTGTTATAATAATTTTGACCCCTTTGTCTTTGTGTGCGGCTGTGGCACCGTAGCTCCCAATCGTATGCACTGGTTTTAATGCGGTTTTTTTGTTAGATCTAGATGATTCCTACCTGTTTTTAATGATAATTACTAGCCATTTATAACTTTGAAGCCTTTATCTGTTTGTGTATTTGTCTGTGACACCCTATCTCCAAAATGGATCAACCGATTTGTATGCGGTATGTTTTAGTTGAAAGCTGGTTTAATCAGGATGGTTCATAGCTATGGTTCAGACGTTTTATAGTTCTGAAAATTTCAAATGAGTAAAACTTAAAGTAAAAAAATTACTAGATGGCACGGTTGTACAGGGTCATTATAAAATATTGTAGTCAACTCACCTATGAAAAACAAATGAAATTTTTCTCGTGCCGCTAATCACCAAAATGATTTGAACTGTTCTGAAATGTCACGAACGTCCAAACAAATCTGTCAGATGTGTCAAAAATTGAAATGCCCGGTTCGCGGTTTAATTTCATTTTAAATAGAACGAAAAGACGCCAGGCCAGAGCATTAAGGGTTGCAGTGTTATCGAGCATTTGTGAACGCCACTGCAATACATTTCAGTTTCAAAAATTGTAAATTGTCAGAAAAACATTTAAGGGCTTTGTCATGAATTACACCTTGGAAAGTCGATTGGAGTTGAACAGAATAAATCATCTGGTCTGTTTTGCAAAGAAGCAATAATTTTTCAAATAATGAAATCCAAAAAGTGAGGTTAAGTTTGTCGAAACCAATGAACACGGTAATTATTTAAAAAATTACATTTTTATAGGTACCCTGAAGGTAAAAATTGTGAAAAATCACGTAATGGACAATGGCAGAGCAAGTCTTACCACAGTTAACGAACACTATGAGTACCTAATGAGTTTTTGCAGTAAATAATTTTGCCAAAGTTGTGATCCCGCGAAAGTTCTGTTTGTAAATTGTAAGGAATCGTCAAAATATTGGTGCAGACATGGTATGTGACCGGTGCTTTTCTCTTGAAAAAACACAACTGAAATCCTTGATCTTCATCCCTACAATAGGTGAAAATTGCTATGTCCAAACATTACCTTCAGCTTTGCAGTTTCTAGATATCTGAAACATGCCAGATCTGCATAACAGGAATGTCAAAGAGGTTCTACCCAAAACACGCCCACATGGCCATCCTAATATCAAGATTTTTCAAAATTTCTATAAGAAAAAAGATGAAAAAACCAATAAAATTTCAGGAGCATAGTGTTAAGAGTTCTGTAGCTGATTATGAGATCTCTTGAAACAACAGAATGTTTAATAAAGATTTTTAACTTTCCTAATAGTAAAATTACAATTATTACTAAACAGTAAGTTGAAGTAAGTTTTAAATTAAGAGAATGCAACTAACACCGAAAGAAAAATGAAAGTTACTGAAAATAAAAAACTTTATTGCAGTACCTACATACACTTTCTACATCTAATTTTGTTTATTGATCACATTCATTTACTTGAAAAAGTATCAGGCCTATGAATCGTCGTCTGCTAACCACACACCAACCTTCATTGCGTGTGATGGTGTTTCTTCAAAAGCGTGAGTATTCTCTATACAGCAAATTCTGAAGTTCTGTCAGTTGACATAATAGCCTAACAGATGAAACCAGGCTTCATCAGAAAAGAACGACAAATCGAGAATCCCGTTATCGTCCATATCAGCTTGAAACCAACTACACTACCCAACGCGGCAAGGAAAATCAGCTGGTTGCAGCTCCTGAACCAACAAAATCTTGTATGGATGCATATGTAACTTCTCTTTTACGATTTTCTGACATGGGCTGTATGGTACTCCGGACAGTAAAGATTTTTGACAAAGCTTTATTCGGACTTTGTTCCATTCTCATTCTTAAATCTTCAACAACGTCTTCACTAACTTGAGGTCTCCCCGTCGGTTTTCACTTAGAAATGCTACCAGTGTCGTTAAATCTGGCCATAATTCGCCATATAGCGTCTTCAAAGATTCTTCATCAATGACAACAGAACATTTCACTAGATACTCGTTTTTAGACGCCTCCACAGAGTACACTCCATCCCCATCCTCATTTAACACCCCATTACGGTAATAGGCATGATGATTGCGCCAAAGGACTAAAAAAATCATTTGTAACACTGACCATAGTTATTCCTCTCTGTTCATTACCTGAGATTATTCCACAATGAGCTGTAGTTTTGATAAAAACTGTTTTTTGAGACACTTATTAAAGTTCTAACAAAGGGGAAGACAGCAAAAATGAAAACAAGACAAGTCAATTAACGCACAAAGTGAGGGAAAACGTACCAGTACAAACGAAAAAATTATTGACATCTGACAGAATTTGATGAAGCGTTGAACCAGTGCAGCCGCTAATGTCAACTAATGTGGCGCTAAAAATAAAAATTCCAATATTAGTGTAATCCTTTCCACAAAACTGAAAAAGGCGGCACAAAATGTCACCAAAATCATGGCCTTCTTCGACTACAATATTTTATAATGACCCTGTAGAATAGATAGGTTTGTACACTAATGGCTTGAGATGGCGACACTTCTTTTCGATCCCTATATCCATGGAAAGGACACATACAGCTAGCGCCTCTACCTTGTCGAGCGGAAATCGTTCTAGTTATTTTGGGGATTTTCGTTTACATTGCTTTATGAACAATACAAAATTTGTAAATGACATTTGATCAGAGTCGATAAATACGATTTCTTTTATTAATTACATCGGTTATAGACAGATGCCTATAGAGTTCTGTGTCCCTAAAACGTCAAAAACCAGGCGACGCGATCGGCAATTGGCGGCGCTGGCCAGGGATATGCAAATGTATGCTAGTGTATCAACCTATCTATTCTACAACCGTGCTAGATGGTTATTTTGACAGAACATCCCTTGGTCCTGAAGTACAGTGGAATAAATCTAATGTTTTCGATAAATTATAAGATTTAACTTTACGAGGTTTTGATGATAACTGTTGTGAGTCGAAATAAAGATGTATAATGTTTAACTGAAGGTAAAGAAGCATACTACGCCTTTGTTTCAGGTGAGTTTTTCCATTACAAAATTTTGTGATGACGTCATCGACAACAAGGACATGTGCAGCATAATACTAATAACAACAGTTTTGTATTCCCAAAAATCCCAAATTCTCGGGAAAACGAGTAAGTCGTTGTGACCCTGCATAAGTAATTCGGAAAACCATGAATGCATTAATGACCCACAAATATAGAGTCATAATATTTTGCATACTTCAGAAAGGATTTATTAAACAAAATTTTGAGATGACGTCATCAATTTTTTGGGAGAAGATAAACGAATATATGTATTTTGATTAACGATTTTTGAAATGTTGTTAAAGAATTTTGATTGTTTTTTTTTTTAATCTGGATGATTAATGTGAACACTCAATACAGATTTATACATTACAAGTGGACGGGTATATTATTTTATAAAATTAAAAGAAAATATTGTAAATTTTGCAGATTATGTTATCTCTTTGGTAGTAGGGATTTAGCCAAATTTTGGTTAGCGTTTTATCATCTACATGATATTTTTATAACAATCAGCCAGTAGTTTCAGACGGAAACGGAGGATTACTTTTTCGTACTCTTGGAATCATGAAAGTCCAGAAAACTTGAAAGTGGCAAGTCGTTCGGTGAACTCCATTACTATACTTTCTTAACCTACGCTCAACAAGCATTAAAGAACTGTTGAAAGTGTAAACCATTGTTGTCAAAACAGATTCTAGCTTGTTCAATCAGCGATTCTTGAACTTTTAATAAGCATCTTAGGTTTTGTCGAATAGTTTCAGCAGCATTTTCTGTTCGATCCACTAATTCTTCAACACTGTCGGTCGGTGTGGCGTAACCCAGTTGTTTAATGTGACTCCATAAATAAAAGTCACCATGATTTAAATCGGGTGACCGGGCAGGTTACCGCGACGAATATAACGTTGATATGTTGCTAGTAATTATCGTCAAGGCACTCCCACACATCATAACCATCGTAAGGGGGTGATGCATCATGTAAAAACCACATGTGTTGTCTTACGTCTAGGGACATATCGTCTAAAACATCGAAGTCCAATTAAGGTATATGCTCATCACCTACGAGTCCTGCCCATAGATTTAAATGAAACTTGGGTTCAAATTGGGGTTTTCCTAAATCGCGTGCGGGTTTTCGTCGGCCCAAATATGGATATATTTGCATGTTAAATACCCCATCCCTGCTTCGTCAGTTGTTTAGAAATTATTTAAAAATTTGATTGTTCTTCAACTTTTTGTAACAAGCACTGACAGAACACTTATCGACGAGCAAAATCACCAGGTTGTAGCGGTTGCGCCTTCTGAATGCCATACGAGTAGCTTCTGTTCTTTCAATGTTCGCCACGCTGTGAATTGAGAAAGACTTTGACGTATCGCAAGCCTTTAAAGGTAAGTACTAGAGAGAGGCAAAGTTATTCGAAGCACTCGAAGATTTCTCCCGCTCCTCATTATCATTGCAAGTCCAGTGTCATGCGGCGATTACAACGACCGAAAATGCAGCGATGGACGAAGCGAAACAATATTACGCGCTACTGAGGTAAAGTGGTGGGAGTCGCATCGACTAAAAATGCATGTCTCTAGTAAGTACACACCGGCCCACAAAATTGGCAACATGTTGATACTGGTGTTGTCAACATATATCCCGTCAACTAGCTACAAGTTGACGGAATACACGATAACAACATCAGCATGTTGTATAAAACAATTTATATTTAATTTCAAATAATTTTTTCTAGACATTACTACCACATAGAAATGTGAGTTTTACGCAGTGAAATAATCTTATTGTCCCCATTTTTTATTGCACATATTTCGAAATCAGGCTATATACAGGGTGTCTGGAAAATGGCGGATTAAGTGTTTCGGGAGTCCCAAAAATGTAGATTAAGAAAAAAAACGTGATTTTTTAAAAGTAAGAGAGGCAACACTGCACGCACCTAATGCGTGATTGCCTTCGGCTTACTTTTTAGGACAATAACCCTAACAATCAGTAGTATTAATCGTTGTGCATTATTATTAATAAAACAAGATGTTATTTTTCATTAATAAACTAAAAAAACATTTAATAAGACATTTATAAATCATTAACAAAAACAAAACCATCAAAACAAAAATCCATTAAAAAGCATAACCAACTAACCACTAGAGAAGATGTTAAAAATTGCTGCCTTGTGCATGTAAGTAAGCTCGTAATGTTTCCAAATTTTGATCATTTTTTTTTGTGAAAGTTAGTCATCAGTCCACAAAATTTTAGAGGTAAATCGTAATCTACATACACTCCCAACTCTGCCAATGTCCGGGTCAATTCTTATCCGATCGTCAGGCAGAAGATGTAAGACATCCTCCTCTAACTTTGAAGTACGTGTGGTCCTAGAATGACCTCGATCATGAAACTAGGAGTAAGAAGCAAGCTGCCTGTTTTCCTCAATCTTGCGTCCAGTTGCCTAATCTCATTTACTGTGGGAGGCCTTCTTACCGGATAACACTCAGTACAAACAAACCCGTGTGACAACAGTAGCATTCCCTTCGCATTCGTCAAAAACCACACACATTAGCATCTTCATTAACTGGGAACATTTTAAACGTAGGGTTTTGAAAACCAACAATTTTTAATACGCCAAATATTTTTAACTGCTTACTCGATTTTTGCTGATTGTAGCTTCTCTTTATATCAGGTAAATATTGATGTCAAATGGAATTTTATCAAATTATTGCAAAAACAAGACAACCATATCTTTGTATGTACATTCTAACTGAAATGGTAATTGAATACTGTCATGAGTGAGAGAAATATTAACTAAAAGTTTTATTACTAGTATTTGTAATAATGAATGTGTTGTTTAATTGTTAAACGTAGCAAAAGAACCAATTTTAAAATTATTATAACTCCACCAAAATGTGGGAAGGAATTTTTTTACTATTTTTCCAAGACTCACCAGTTGATTGTTAAGAGCGTAGGGGAGACCTAATCCGCCATTTTCCAGGCACCCCGTATAATTCGAATTCAAGACAGAAAATGCCGAAACAGTTATTTTCCCAAACTTTAGAAATACTGGTAATCCAAAGACTTGCAAAAGGTAAGTTACGTTGACATTTTTAATGCCGAAAACACCACTGAAATCAATTTGGGCTATGCAGGTAAAAATTTGTCGAGGACTGTTTCTGACATACCCACCATTACATTAAACATTTTTGTAAAATCACTTAATGATTACATTTTGTTTACTTTAAAAATTTTCTATTTTTACTTCCCGAGCGTAAGCAAAGGAAGTATTGTAATCCAGTCCGTCGGCCGACTCTACTTTTACGTTTTCTCGATCTTTCATGACCCCTAGAAGACGAAGAAATAGGTCTCCCATTTCCGTCTGTCCGTCTGTCTGCCGTCCCGGATTTTTATTAGACAGATAATCTCCGAAAGTACTGGATCGATTGTTGTGAAATTTTGTACTTATATTAGGAATATCATGTAGATGGTAAAACGCTAACCAAAATTTGCCGAATCATCCCCACCACTAATGCGATGACGTCACTTCAAAATTGTACATAGTAAATGGGTTTTAAATTGTATAAAATAACATAGTCCTACACATGTAGTTTACGATTCGGAATTGAGTTTTTACCCGAAACGTCCAGATTTTTGGAAAAAAATCGGGTGTTCTGTAAAGTCGGTTTACTGACGATAGTTGAACGTGACAACGTCTTAAGAAAATACTGATGGAATGGTAGCATTTTTCAAAAGAAAATTTTAATTTCATTTGTTTAATAGATTTGTATGTATATAGAGAAGGAGGTAATTAGAAATCACAATGAAATTGATCAAGTTAGATTTATTTATACGCATAAATACAATTATGTCAATTTTTTTAGTTTAATGTGTCTTGAAAAAATTGACACTACATTCACTTTTCACTGCACTTGATACTCGACCAAAACATGTCAATGTACTATAATATAGCAGCTGTCCACGCAGACGCATCGCTCACTCAAGTAGGAGAGAGACGGATGGCGAACGCTGCCGAACGCGAAGGCCGATTGTGCCTCTTTGTCGCTCGTTCCGCGTTCTCGCTTGCACTTCAAGCCTTACATGGGACGCCTCAGAGCGAGGTAACACCGCATGAGTCATGCTTTTTCGTGCGTGCAGCCGGCTCCATCGATTTATAAGACGTTGTCACGTCAAAAAATCAAATTTATAAAACAACATTTTGTAACTTAATTTTGAATCTGCTAACCCGAATGCTTTGAAATGTTGCAGATATTTTAAGGCTATAAAGAGCATCATAAACCTTTAGTCAAAATGTATTTAGTTATCCCCTCCAAAAACTTGATGACGTCAGCCCAAAAGTTTGCCGAATAAATCCTATCTAAAATGTACAAAATATGACGAGTCTGTACTTGTGATTTATCACTCCATTCATATTTTTTGGATTTGCATATACAGGGTGACTCAAAAAAATTAATGAATGCGTAAATTTACTTTATTGGTTTACTCAGGAACTACAAAACCGAATGCTTTGAAATCTACTGCGAAAAAAAAACATAATGGGCATGCAATCGTCACGTTTCCGACAGCGAGGGAAGTACTGTCTAAACTCTTTAGACCAATTTTTTTCTAATGGAAACATGTAATTTGTCTTAATTAAAAAAAAATCAATAGATATAAATAGTAAATATTTTAATCATGTTTTTCATGTTTCCAAGGCTCTGGTCTAGAAGTAACATTTAGAATACTATTTTTTTATTAATACATAATATATAGATAGGCGACCCACAACGAAAAAAAACCAATTGTCTGTTGACCTTCGGATATATCCACTATATATAATAACTATGGATGTTGTATTCTAAACGTGGATTCTGGTAATTTTTCAATTAATTTATTTTAGTAAGTATTCTGTCACTTCATATTCCGACGTATCAAATCACGTTAAGGATGTTACAATTGTTTTCAAGAAGGCAAAAGAAAAATATTACCTACGAGCTCACTCATTGCTCAATTTTAACTTACGGTGATTAACCCAAACTGTGGAGTTTAAAAATTTAAATGTCTACTTTACTGACAATTTAACAGGCTGGCAACATATTAAAGGCGAAATAACTAGTATTCCGTTATCAACATATATTTTTTTTTCTTGTTTTTTTCATTGTGTGTCAACTTTACATATTTACTTAAAAATAATGCGCCTAATGACAAAGACGCTTTACATCAAATTAATAACAACAATTAATTAAATCTTACACCATCGTTCCAGTGAAAGAAAAGTGCATTGACCTTCTCCTAATAAAATTGCTTCAGACTTTTCTAGAAGTGTTATCTCGTCCTTTAGTTTAAGGACCTGACCAACTTCCATAGATTTTTTTATTGCAGAAAATACGTAAAGAACAAAAGTAAAGAATTTCAATAATCGAAAGCAATGAAAATCCCGTAAATAATCCTAGAAGGCCTCCTAAGTTGGAAATTAAATCAGAGGTACCATACAGTTCATTTCTTTCCAGTGTTCTAATTTGTTCGTCTTTGAAATAAATATGCATCAATGACCAGGACCAGCTAAAAATGTTTGTTTTATATATATATTATATAACTATTCAAACATATTTTAATACCCCTCTAAATACCTATCGTCGCCTCCTATTGCATTCCAAAATTCTTTCACATGGAAAGTGTCTTGCGAAGTTTCTACCCGAAATTTCAAATTCGAACAGGCAGGTAGACAATCACAAAAGTCATATCCTTTTAAATTAGCTTCCAGTTGTTCTTTTATGAAGGCACCTAATTACCAATAAAATTAAAAAATATTTACATACATCCTGAGTTTGTCCTTACTTTCAGCTTGTTGTGTACATTCGTGAAGAGGTCTACCACAAATCGCAGTTGTATTCTCGCCTATTGTAAAAGTCATACAAAATATTTTTTCTTAGAATATGTAATATACTCACGTGGCATGAAATATTGAACACAGCCACATTGTTTCAAGGTATAATTAGTGCGACATTCAAGGAAACAGTTAGATTGAGTATAAATTTTAAAATATTTTAGAGAGTATTCATCTCGCATGTAGCACCTTCTTTTCTTGGCCTTAATTTTGCTGAGATTTTCGGAAGATCGAACATATTCACCTTCCACAACAGCGGACAAATATTTATTAGCAGGAACGCTAATGTAATATTGTCCAAAGAGAGGTACTTCCCAAGGGCTATGAATTAAAACCTACAAGTAGAAAATAAATATATACAAATAAATAATGTGCAAGAAACAAGACACTAACATTTTAATGTTAAAATTAGCACGCAGAACTTTCTCGAAAAGGTGAGATTACTTCCCTCTTTATTTGAAAATGTTGGTAAAACCTTCTCGGGGGCGCCAAATATCTTTTTTTTAATGTGAAATCTTCCCGGGGGTCCCAACAGTCTTTTTTAAGAATATAAAACCTTCTCTGGGGCACCAAATGTATTTTTTAAGAATGTGAAGTCTTCTCGGCGGTCCCAAATGTCTTTTAAAAATGTAAAACCTTCTCGGTGGCCTGATATGACATTTTTTGTAATGTGAAACCTTCTTGGGGGTCCCAACTGTATTTTTTAAAATTGTAAAATCTTCTCGGGGGCGCCAAATGTTTTTTTAAGAACTTTCGACCTATTTTTTTTTATTGTGTAACCGCCTTTTCTTTACAAACAAAGCACGAACCCTGCTATAGCAGGCATGACTCAGTGGAGGAGTTTCTGCTTCACAGACCCAGCGTCGATAAAAATTAACGACATGCAAAATGACAAAAGTATGGGTAAAAATTACGTGAGTTGATAACATAACTTTTTACTATCACAGAAATCGTCGGTAAAGTAGAAAAATGTAATAAGTAAATATAAAATAAAATAATCCAATGAATGGACTTGAGAATTTGCTTTTTATATTTCTTGAAACGTCAGCTGTATAATACTTACTCTAAATCCCTTGAAAAAAATATTACATGTAGGATCATGCCATTTATCGTCAAACTTTAACAATATTGTCATTCCATTTTTTGGACCAGGCTTTAGCGTTCTTCTAGGATACGCGTCAATACCGACATTTTCTTTGTATCCGGTTTCCACATTGAAATAATCTGCCATTTTGTGAGGAACTTCATAGTATTTTGCGTAATTATACCTACAAATAATCATTTATAAACATTTTAAAGCAGTGTTCAACTTACACGTGGTCGTTAAATATGTCATCTCGGCCTAAATTATTAAACGAATAACATAATCCTCCATCTATAAAAACAGGCTTAAATAATGACTCACAACCCAGCCCATTAGTTTCATTGATATAACTACAGAGCATAAACATATCCCTTGGTTCAATTTTAGTCTAAAATATAAAACTAGTTACAACAGTACAAAACAATAATTTAGACAAATTGCGTTTTGTCTAGACAAATATAGAAATGTCTGTTGATTCTAGCCAAAAGGCGAACTACCACATGATTAAGCGCTTTGTCCATACAAATTGCGTAATGTCCATGTTAACGCAGACCAAAGATGAATTTAGTTGGTAATACGAGAGTATACTAAATATCTATATTTCATCCAGAAAAAGGGGTTTCTATAATTTCGTGTCTGTGGTGGTGAAATTTTGTTATTCTTTTTAATCTATGTGTTTAGTGTCTTTGGTCTAACTTTAAAATCTGGTACCTGTTTCACAACTCTAGCATGAAGCGACTTCATAGTTACGTGGTCGTTAGATGCAATCATTTTATATATAATTTCCCTGACTAACGTTAAATCTACAAGATTTACTTGAGTGTTTATATTTCTAATAGTAGTGGACATATTCTCTTTACACTCCATATCACTTGAACATGCATTTTTTGTAAAATATATAAATATTTTTCAGAAATTTTTAACATCTCGGCTGCCAGTTCTGTTTTTCTTTTTTTCTTACATTGCACATGATGGCCTCTGTCTAGATAATCCAATACATTTAATACAACGTGTTTTGTTTGATCACTAAATCGTTTCATAGTTAATTAACTAGTTAAAACAAAATTAAGTAGAGTATTAAAACATTAAATAAACCAAAGATTCTGTTTTCCAAATAATTTTGATGACAAATTTCAAAATTTGACATAAAATTTTTACGAGTTACTCAAAATCTGGTAATTTTTTGTCTCACACAAAATGCATAAGACAGAATGAGATGATGACATAAAATTATTGTTCAAATATTTTCTCTAAAACTGATGTGACCACCTTCCTGCAAGAAGGTGAAGATGAACAATGATTGCTAACGAAAGTATTAAAATTTTCCTGATATATTCATATACGAAATTAATTTTCAGGGTTCTGATTATGGGAGTTGCGGATGCATGGAGGAAGGAGGAATTAACTAATTTGCTGTTTGAAAATATGAAAAATGGACATGTTTTCTACGTTAGAAAACCGAACACAAAAACGAAAATTTCTCGTGATTTTTTCATAACTTCGGAGAATGGGTTAATTTGGTGGAAGTGTCAAAATTAATAATACAAATGCAGTAAATAATTAAATACTCTCAACAAATTAAGTTTTCATAGTTAGACTCTTATTATAATACTAGTTATATAATGAAACATCATTATAACACTAGTTATAGTGGTCCAAATCGTACTCCGTATTTATGGCACTGCAATAACAATTACCGGAAGCAGTTGGTCTGTTGATGGTTTATTACCGCTGGATCACTTGCGGCACAGACCCATTGTGAAGGGATGTAACTCATACACAATAGGGTGCAGTCGTAAAAACGGAGTACGATTTGGATAAGCATACATAATGAACATCATTATGTACCTCATGAGTTATATAAAAGTAACTTTATTAACAAGTTGTAGATAAATAAAATTATACATCATTGGCGTAATAATATTTAGTGAAACGTAATTGAAACTTTCTTTAAACATACAATGATTAGATAAATACAATAAGCCATTCCTACTTAATTTTCACTTACTTTGTCTATGGTTTCAAAGACTTCGTTATCCAGTGTATCATTTTCAAACTCGGTAGGATATTTGACTTCGCAGAGAACACTTAGACGTTGAAACATCGTTAAACTAGAAACAAGATTATTAATTGTGAAATAAAGAGTTAAATAAAAGAATTTTCGCTAAAGCAATTATTATAACAAAAAAAAAAACACAATAAAAATTACACAGGCCTGCGATTTTCAAATTGTCTGGAATCTATCTAGTGATTTTAATACGTCAGGTTTTTTCAACAATTAGTATTACTTCCGAGCGTAAACTAAGGAAATATTGTAATTGAGTTCATCGGGCGACTAGCTACTACCACACTTTCTCGATGTTTCATGACCCCTAGAGCACAAAAACATAGGTCTCCCGTTTTCGTCTGTCTGTGTCTGTCGCTTCGCCATCTGTATCAACTTTTCTTAGAGAGATAATCTTTGAAATTACCGGCAAATTGTGGTCAAATTTTATATGTATATGTAAATGATAAAACGCTAACCAAATTTGGTCTAATCATCCCCACCGACAATGTAATGACGTCACCTTAAAATCGTACATATGGGTAAGGGAAGTTGGCTTAGATTTTGTCTAGGTCAAGTGTAGTGGAAGTTCAGTTGACTCTACTTTCGTGGAGTGGAGGTTCCAAGCCTTCCATTCGAATTTACATTTGCGAAAATTTTTCCATGGCGACGAAAATTTCAAAAGTAGACCCATGATAGTGAACTGTAATTTTTTTACTTTATTCGGGTTGTCAATAGTCGTGCGAATAAAATGCTGCTATAAACATTTTATAGATTCTTTCGATTAAACTATTTGTCGAAGTTTGTATAAATGAATAAGACCAGCGAACAGTAAGATAAATGTATATTGCTAGTGACAAGTGTTATGATAAATAAGAATGATAAGAATAGAATATTATGTGACCGTGCGGTCGAGATAGTTGAATGTTAGTTACGAATTGAGAATTGTGAATTGAATGTGTATGAATGAGTTAAGAATTAAGAATAAATGCTACCCTGTGTTCCAAGGTGGGGGTGGCTCTGGCTCCCACCCTTACGGGTGGGGATGGGTGAAACAGGTCCCCGCCAGAGGCTCTAACATACCCCCCGCCTTGAAACAATTACATTGTTTTAAGACCAAAAATAAACTATATGGAATATTAGAATGATAAATACAAATGAAATTACATGAATGGGATGGATATTGTTACAGAAAGCAATGGACATGAAGAAACGCATTAAACTTAAAAAAAAAAAGATATCTAAGACAAATTACATTGGTACAATATCAGCGAATACACGTTATTTACAATATACCTACAAATAAATTTACAACAATTATAATGTACCAAATCAATGAATAATACGACGAGTAAATAATATGGCGAATGAATATAACAATGGTACAAATATGAATACATAGAACATAGTAAAATAAATCAACAATGAGATGTATATAACAAATTGACAAGATGTATGCAATATGGTTAAATAGAATGATAATGCATGCGATTGCGAAATTATCTTTTGCACTTCACCGACACTACACACACCACCACTTCCTTTCCAAAATGATGTTGGAGGGCCGCGTCCTAACCGCCACTGTAGACGCGGAAATTTCTCCTCCTTCACGAGGACCCATCTTGCCATTCCTGGAACGTTGGAAGATGGCCTTTGCCACCCTAACCTGCCTTTCAGTGTGGTCAAATATTCGAGGTACCACGACTTCCAGAAGTGTTGATGGTAAGCGTGGATGAGGTGCCAAGGGATGGCCTGTTGATGGGAACGACGGCGTGGTTTTTTCCTGAGGGACCAGTTGATGGCTGGCCGAAAGAGGCATTGGCCAGGTATAAATGCGACCAAATTATTGCGGTCGCTGGACAGAGGCTTCGAAAGGCGCGAATTCAGGACGGCTTTAACCCTGACAGTGAGCGCATACACGCCCTCGCCCTCAAGATGGTTTTTATCAGTAATTTCGTTATACTTCCGGCTATTCATATTTAAACTTTTTGAACTAAGATTTAAACGGTCAGCAACCACGCAGAGTTTAGTGGCAGAAATGTAAAGATTTAAAACATAATTGTGTTGCAGGTAAATGGAATTATTTAACGAATTTTCGTTAAGTACCTTCAGGTGCACAAGGTCTAGGTACTTCCTTTGAGAGACAATAAAACCCTCGTTATGTTTATGATCACGTCCCTTTGCTAACAATAATAGTTGGAGAGCGAGTTCTGGGGAATTTCCTAATTTAGGTAGATTTTCGAAATAAGGGACTGTGGAATGGCCCAACCTTTTCTCGACTGATAATAGCCAGTTTGGGTGCATTTCTGCAAAATTCTCTAATTGCGGCTGATTTTTCGAAAAGGGGTGTTTGACCATGAAATAGCCATCGGGTGAATGGCCTGTGGTAGTACACTGAAAAGGGGTTGCACAAAGATCGCTTTTAAACCCTTTGCTTAATGACCTGCTTCCGGTTTTGACGGTTTCAACTTCCAAAAACCGAGAAATAATTTGGGCTGAACTAATTTTGTGATGATGGGAAGTATTGTTTTTTAAATACGCAAAATTGCCGCTAAGAATCAACCTCAGCGCGGTATTTTGAAGCACCGGTGGGTTTTTACTGAAATGACTTATTATTTTGGGTATGGCATTTTCGGAATGTTTTTTCTTGTCGAGTATTACTACGTTTGACGTATTGTCTTTAATATTCGAGTCTACGGATTTACATAAACATTGCGATCTACATTTAAATTGATTACAAACTAACAATAAGTCACAGTTTTTCGAATTAACTGTAAGACTTTTTACTTTGTCTAGTGCGGTAGATGACTCTGCATTAGAAGTTTTATCTAAATTAATTTGAGATACGCCTTCGGACTTGTAACAATCATTAACAGGATGATTTTTATCTTCATTCGGTGTTGAATTTGGAAATTTTGAACGATTTGATATTATACTAGGAGTTTTTGAAATAACGGAATCAAGAGGGGATTTTTTACCAATAGTGAAACTCAATTTACGTAGAGCATTGAAATGGGTTTTGTGAATTTTGATGGGTTCTCCATTTCTTAATTTGTGTACCTTTAAAGGCTTTAAATTTTGACAAGTTTTTTCCAGATCCGTGGTTGGTACGTTAGTGTTTATCTTACATGAATTCGAGAAAGTACACAATGGATTAGTTTTTTCAATGAGAACATTATATAATTCGGATATTTTTTGAATATAATTTAGCACGTCTCGGATATTATAAATTATAGGCTTGATCGTTTCCGTGTTACTCGTGTCATTCGGGACTACCATTGTTTCGGATTTTTGCTGAACTACCAGCATTTGTAATTCTGAATAAATTCGCTGTACGTCTTCATATCGACGCTTTAAGTGGCCTCTTTTTTGATGATTTGCAACATTTGATATAAAATTAGAATGTGAATCTATTTCGCTGAGAAGAATTGAAAATTTAACAAAAGTATTGTCTTGGATTACCACCATCTTGAGTACGAGAATAATGTATTACACCAACCAAACAGAATTAAAGCTTACTTGGAATCCTGGATTCCTGGATAGAATTATCTTGGCTGACGCTGAATGATACTTGAGGATTTTGCACAGCACTCGCGGTCGTCACCGATAGCTGAACACTGCGCGGATGATTTCTGGGTGATGTTTTGATAACTACTTTGCTGAATTCCAGCCGATGAATGATATGTTGAGAATTACACTTATCACTACCACTGTTATTCTGTCGCTAATCCGGCTCGAAGGACCATGTCGAAGTTTGTATAAATGAATAAGACCAGCGAACAGTAAGATAAATGTATATTGCTAGTGACAAGTGTTATGATAAATAAGAATGATAAGAATAGAATATTATGTGACCGTGCGGTCGAGATAGTTGAATGTTAGTTACGAATTGAGAATTGCGAATTGAATGTGTATGAATGAGTTAAGAATTAAGAATAAATGCTACCCTGTGTTCCAAGGTGGGGGTGGCTCTGGCTCCCACCCTTACGGGTGGGGATGGGTGAAACAGGTCCCCGCCAGAGGCTCTAACACTATTGTTTTAATAATAACATTCAATACATAAAATGGAAATTTAATTAATGTGAATTGGAAAAAATAAGTTATGTTATGCTTATCCAACATTTTTTAATAACTTTTTCTCCTAAAAAAATGGTCGAAAGTTATTTCTGCAAAACATTCAGTTTTTTCGAAAAATTATAAAATTTGATTTGGTGAATTTTATTTTTTTATGAGAAACTCTATAACTTATAATAAAGATGTGTTTGTAATTTGGATATGGCCTACTAATAATAACCGTACTGTATTTCCAAATTTTCTGGAAAATGAAGTGAATTAATCAATAAAATAAATTGAATCATCCATTAATTTTTTGAGTCAACTAGTAGAGCAATTCTAAAAAATATGAATGTAGTAATAAATCACAAGTACCTTGTTTCCGCTAGCCTTGTAATGTTTGCAAGGTTTCACTCCATCAGAACATACTTAAAATATACCTAAACTACAAGTAGATTGGTAAATATGTATGTTATTTTAAAAACTTTAAACAACATTTAGGGCCGGTTTATGGAATGCGAATTAAATATTAAATCCTCGATTAATTTAACAGAGAATTAAAATGTATAATATGAGCCTATGATTGGTTAAAACATGCACATTGCATCGCTATTAACTTTTAATTCGCTTTCCATAAACCGGATCTTACTATTATAAAATTTGACAATGATGTCGTATGAGGATATTAGACGAATTTTGGTTAGCGTTTTTCCATCTACACGATATTCTTAATATACATACAAATTTTGACAAACATAGGGTCCTGCAGTTTAGAAAATTATCTGCCTAATGAAAATCGACACAGAGAGGCCTACCTTTCCGTACTCTCGTCAAGAAAACATAAACAAGGTGATCGTGCGTGATAGTGCATGTGTGCATGTGTGTTGTGCTCCAAAATCTGTTCCTTCCTCTCAGGTTTGAGGAAACAAATTTACACTGAATGAGACATATGTAAAGGGCGTTTCTCGCATTGAGAACAGTGTAATTGTTTTTCGCATCTGTTTAGTCGTTTTT